TTGTATATTTATATATATAATTATTCTATATTCATTTATATATATGCATATATTTATTATATTATTACCTATATATTTATTTTTATATACTTATTTGTATATGTATATATTTATTTATATTTATATACTGTTTTATTATTTTATATATACTGTAATTATTTATATATTTATTTATATATTTTATATGTATATTAGTATATTTATGTATATATATACATTTGTATATGTATTTATATATATTTATATATTTATATGTTTATATATTTATATTATTTAAATTTTTTTATATATTGTATGTTTATTTGTATATATATATACTTATATATAGGCCTATTAATATGTTCATATATATATTTATTTGTATATTTATTTATATATTTATATTATTAATATGTTCATTTATTTTTTAATATATTTTTATATATATATTATATATATAAATAAATATTACAAATAAATATATATATATAAATATATTAATGCTGTAATACTGAAGTACTATATAAATAAATATATATTATATATATAAATATATTTGTATAAATATATATATATAGAAATATATATATATAAAATATATGAACTTAATAATATATATATATAAATATAGAAATAGATATATATATATGTAAATATATATATAAATATATAAACATATAAATATATATGAATATATATAAATACATATACAAATAAATATATAAATAAATATACAAATAAATATACAATTATAAAAATAAATATATACTGTAGCCTAAATAAATATATAAATAATTACACTATATTTAAAATAATAATACAGTATATAAAAATAAATATATAGCCTAAATAAATGTATAAATAAATATATAAATAATTACAGTATATTTAAATAATAATACAGTATATATATATATATAAATAAATATATACACACAAATAAGTATATAAAAATAAATATATAAATATATATATATATACATATATATATTACATTACTAATATATATATATAATTATACAAATTAATATAAAAATATATAAATATATAAATGAATACAGTATATATAAAATTATATATATATATAAATAAATAAATGTATAAATAAATACAGTATATATATATATATATATATATATTATGTATGTATCTTTATATCTGTATTTTAAAAACATCTATCAGCGCTGCATACTTTCGGATCGACGATTCAAGAAAGGTCCAAAAATGTATGTACTGCGCATGACTGGACTACACAGGCAAAGCTCCCCGGTGAGAAAAAAAAAAGTTTTAAAATGTATGGCTCGCATGGCTAGCGCATTGCCTCGCATGACTCGCTGGCTCGCACTTTGTCACGACCCCTCTAGTTGGCCCATTGATTCATAAACCCTTGTTTGCAAATTTCTGGCACGCCATCGTGTCAGGATTCAATATTTCGACATTAAATATAAAATGTCGAAATATTGAATCCTGACGCGATGGCGTGCATTTCGATACTTGGCATAGGGCGCGAAATGGCCGCAGTACAAGAATAATTGCCGGGCCATTTGATGCGATAATATCAGGCCCGTAGGCAGGATTTTAAAGAGGGTTCTATTTTTACAACATCCACCTCTGCCCCACCATGCTTGGATTAAATTTTAAAAATAGGCCTATAACACATCAGATGTCCAGAAAAGGCAATAATGCCAAATTTCAAATATTTGGAGTTAATTAAACATTAATGCAAATGGTAAGTTTTATTAAATGATTTAAAGGGGCATTTCTGGGCAAAATTTGGGCCGCAGGCAGCCTAAGAACCAGGGTTATCTTGGTATGCGGTCTCTGATGGGAATCAAACCCGCAATCTCTTGCTATCTCAGCAAGCGTCACACTGCTTTGACCAGAGACCAGAGACCAACCAGTAGAATATCATTACGGATCTAAGACCAGTAGTATCTCTACCTTCATAAGACTTGAGGGCTCACATAGTGGAGCAAAGTTTAAGCTGATAATCGGTAGCGAAGCCTCAGTGTCCAGTGAGAGGACAGGAAGCGTTAAGTTATAGGTAGC